CGTTTTGTATATAATGTTACGCGCTCCAGTCAACGATACACTAGCGCCATCTAGTGTCAGGAACGAGAGCGAGGGGAGCATTGAGAAAATGACATCACAAATTACTCAACCGACAGCGCCTAGTCGAAACTCGAACGCTCGGTACCTTGCCCGTGTTTACTTGAACATTCTGGATATTTCTTTGCTAATTTAAATATATAGGCGCTGCAAGATGCGATCGAGGTAGTGTTGATTTGGGCGAAACAAGCGAAGCTTCGGAGTGGAATTAAGTGAATTAGTGTGTTTAAATTATTAGTGTTTTAACTTTAATTTGTGTAAAGTAAATTAAAGTGTTAATTTAGGTAATTTTATCGGCAACTTTTATTGTCACGAACCTCAAGCTCGTAACAATTGGTGTCAGAAGTGGGATAAAATCATGCCGATTTTACCTAAGGAGGAAACGGAGGGTGTCCGTACCCGAAGTCAACGCCAGCAGGAGACGGACCAAAGAAGATTTGGTGGTGCAACGCCGCAGACATCGGAGGGCCAGCCACTGGCTGAAGGCCCGTCGGTAGCTCCTACATCTGCAGCACCTGACTTAGGTGCTCTGATGGTGATGCTGCAGGAGCAGGCTCGCCGACAGGAGGAGCAAGCCCGCCGATTGGAAGAGCAGCTGCGGGGCGGACAGGAGGAACAGGCCCGCCGACAGGAGGAACAGGCCCGTCGTTTAGAAGAGCAACTCCAACGCGATAAGGAAGAGCAGATGCTCCTCATGAAGGACCTTTACGCTATCTTCGGAAAAGAGATACGGGAGGTGAAGGATAAGGTTGCTCAACATGACAACCGCCTGTCGGAGGCCGAAACCCGAATCGACCAAGTAAACAATCGGGTTGACAACGTAATGGCTGACGTGAAGAAAACGCTGGACGACCTCAAACTTGGGGATGGAACAACAGCTCCCGTAGTAGCTACAACACCTTCGCTACGTGGATTCAAAGTGCCACCATTCGACGGGACTTCTTCCTGGTCAGCCTACAAAATCCAGTTCGAGGCTGTTATGAAGGCGAACGGCTGGAATAAAAGTCAGGCCATGACTGCTCTCACACTAGGCCTGCGCGACCAGGCCTTAACAGTTCTGGAAGCTCTCGGCGAGGAAGTGACTTATGAGCAACTCCTTGAGGCATTGGAGGCGAGGTATGGCGACGCTCACCTGGAACACGTCTTTCGTGCGCAGCTTAAAGATCGCGTGCAGCGCATCAACGAAAACCTGCAGCAGTGGGCTCTAGAAGTGGAGAAGCTGGTGCGAAAAGCATACCGGTCTGTACCTGCGCTCATTGAAGGGAACCTGGTGCAGACATTCATCGACGGCATCCGTGACCTGGAAGTCAGAGCTGCTGTGAGGCTCGGGCACCATGAGACGCTTAAGGACGCCTTGGCCCATGCACTGGAGGTAGAAGCCGTGCGGCAGGATCATCGTTCCCATCGCGTCAGGGAGGTTGCAGCAGCTACAGTTCGCGACCGCAACAAAGGATACAGCCCTAGGTGCTATGGCTGTGGGGAAAAAGGCCATCTTCGAATCAGCTGCCCTAAGCAAACCGTGGAAAGGAGAGTTGATCGATCTCGAGAGGGTAGTGCAGCTAACGACACTGCCTGGCGGCGACAGGATCATCGTTCACCTCACGCTAGGGAGGTTACAGCAGTTACGGTTCGCGACCACAATAAAAGATACAGCCCTAGGTGCTATGGCTGTGGGGAAAGGGGCCATCTTCGGTCCAGCTGCCCTAAGCACACCCTAGGAAGGGAAGGTGAACGGTCTCAGAAAGGAAGTGCGGCTAACAGCACCGCCCAGCAGCAGCAGGAATACGACTTTACTATCAGACACTGCAGCGGGAAATCTCACGGCAACGCAGATGCATTGTCAAGAAGACCTTGTCCTGAAGATTGCAACCATTGTAGTAGGCAAGAGAGTAAGGAGGTGGTATCCGTGAGGATGCTCAGGACGGACCACCTCAGCAACGAATGGAAGGACAACCTACGACATGCACAGCAGGAAGATCCGGACATCAAGCCGATTCTGGGATGGATGAAGGCCCGTGCTACCAAGCCTAAGTGGAGGGACGTCTCAGCGATGAGTTCAACCACGAAAAGCTATTGGGCACAATGGGACAGCTTGCTGATTCAGGATGGAGTCCTGTGCCGTAAATGGGACAATGGTCGAAGAGACAGCTGTCGTTTGCAAATGGTTGTCCCTAAAGCTAAAGTGCCGAATGTTCTACAGTTGTGCCATAATGGTCGTTCAATAGTCCATCTGGGAGTTAAACGAACTCTACTGAAGGTCCGAGAACAGTTTTACTGGGTCCATTATCGTGACGATGTCGAGGATTGGTGTCGTACATGTACAAGTTGTGCGGCCGAGCGGGGACCTCGGACACGTAGTAGAGGAGCACCGAAATTGTACAATGTTGGTGCACCACGGGATAGGACAGCCCTTGACATTGCGGAGCCGTTACAGAAAGGCGCAAGAGGGACTCCTAAGATCGTCCATGTGAATCGCTTGGCGCGTTATTATGGGGCCGATAATGCTCGGGACGAGCATGTCTTAGGAGGGGGCAGTGTTACGCGCTCCAGTCAACGATACACTAGCGCCATCTAGTGTCAGGAACGAGAGCGAGGGGAGCATTGAGAAAATGACATCATAAATTACTCAACCGACAGCGCCTAGTCGAAACTCGAACGCTCGGTACCTTGCCCGTGTTTACTTGAACATTCTGGATATTTCTTTGCTAATTTAAATATATAGGCGCTGCAAGATGCGATCGAGGTAGTGTTGATTTGGGCGAAACAAGCGAAGCTTCGGAGTGGAATTAAGTGAATTAGTGTGTTTAAATTATTAGTGTTTTAACTTTAATTTGTGTAAAGTAAATTAAAGTGTCAATTTAGGTAATTTTATCGGCAACTTTTATTGTCACGAACCTCAAGCTCGTAACAATAAAATAGATGTAGAATGTCTGTGAGCCACAGCAGCCACTTACCATCAGGTGGACCGTGTGCTCGTTTGTCACCCTATCGTATAAGAAAGGGTCATTTCTATACCTATTCATACTCATCAAAGCATGCCAAGTTTCAACACGTGATCATTTATATACATCAGTTAATTCATGAGGCAACCCCATATCGTCTCGTGAGTGTCGTTGTAGGCGAGAGGGGGAGACAAACCAGGAGATGGACAGTTGCGTCTTCTAATAACAACAAATCAAATCTTTGGTTACCAATCCGCTTTCCAAGTGAGGTAATATGGTAAATACCCAATTATGAGCATACCAGTAAAGGTGGGGTCCCACGGCCTGCTTTCTCACAGGCCAGACCGCGTCAAACCAGACCGGCAGGCCGTGGGAACCGATGCATCCGATGAGGCCTGCGGTGGCCCGTTGTCGCCCGTCCGATCCTTCGGGAGTCGGTAAAATCAAAGGCGCATATTTATAAGCCGGAATGGCCATTTTACGACATAATGGCAAAATTTTTTCTTTTTGCTTGATTTAACAAAATTTCACCACTGAATAAAACCACAGCGGCTGCATACGCAACCATGCGCTCCGTATCGCCTAACATGTTGGAATGTCAGTCAACAGGCCGCACAAGGCCGGCACACGCCGTGGGAACGCTCAATAGGCCACGACAGGCCTATACAGGCGGTGGAACGCCTGGCGCGGCCTGTCGCCTGGCGGGCCGTGGGACCCCACCTTAAGACACCAGAACAAATAATAGGCAATCTGTGGGGAGACCTTTGTTTAGCAGTGAACTTCTGTAAGACAATAACAGTAACAGTAAAAATTATTTTAGATTGTTATAGTATTTTGTTTAAGAAAAGTTTTATCTCCAATCTTAGACCATGCCATGCCATGACCTAGGTTTAATTTAAATTTAAAGTGGGCACTTTCTTATACTTACGTCCTTTTTACTGGAATCGAGACATTCCATCTCATTCCTCAGGGGTCGTATTTATCATCATCAGAAGATAAATGTTGATGTCTATGGGCCACAGCATCCACTTACCATCAAGTGGACTGTGTATTCGTTTGTCAACCAATGTTATACAAAAATACGAAATTGCAAATTTTTTTGCTTTATTGTAATTTGTGCGAAAAAATTATTATTTTTCTAGGGTAAATTAATTTTTTTACAAAATAAGGGTAACAAAGGAGTCCAACTGATGGTAAATGGAGGCGCGTAGACACAGACCTACATCTATGCTCGATTAAGAATCAAAATATAGATCAGCTGTCAGTCTTGAAAATTAAGATAGAATACCTCGTTACCAAAAAGGGGATCGCCGGTTCTGTACACTCAATATACAAAACAGCAGCATTAAATTGCTATTTTACGCTGGTTTTCTGTGACAGAAATTACTTAATTTTATTACTGTTATATTATAAGTTGTTTTAATTTGTTTAATTTCCATCGATTTTATTCATTATAATTATACCTAGCTTACCTTTATATTTAATATGTGGATAACTGTTATTGACATACTTGAAGTAAATTTCAAATTGTATTTAGTGATATACGCTAAATAAATAAAAAATAAAAGACAACGTGATTTCACCCTAGTCGAGCCAACCCATTTATGCTGCAACCATAATATAGCAGCAGGACTGCAGTTAAGTTAATAGTTTTATTATATCTTTTCAAAATAGTGTCCATCCATGGTTCCATACAACCGAGAAAAGCACTTTGCCCACTCGTCCTTAGGAGTCTCTTCGACGGCATTTTGAAACGCAGCCACTGATTCCTCGGCGTCCATAAAACGTTTTCGCCGAAGTTTTTCTTTTATTTTCTGAAATAAATAAAATCGCAAGGTAGAGGTCGGGGATATACGGCTGGTGACCCAGTAATTCCACGTCTGACGTCGCCAAGTAGTCGATTGTTTGCTTGGCGGTGTGCGACGAGGCGTTGTCGTGGTGAAAGAGGATCCTACTGCGAGGTCGTTACTCCCGAACTTTTTCCATTACAAGTGGCAAACAATGGTTAGTGTACCACTCTGCAGTAACTGTTTTTCGATCCTCTAAAACAATTGTTGCGTAATGACCTGCCCTTCCGAAGAACGAGGCCACCGTCTTTTTTCCCACGCTTCGACCTCTCTTCACTTTAGTTGGCAACTCCTCGGAAGGAAACAACCAGGCAGCAGACTGTCTCTTAGTTTCAGGATCATAACAATAAATCCGTAACTTTCATCACCCGTAAGTATGTCGAACACTTTAAATCTTTGAACCATTTCACGACACCAATCAACAAACACGACGGAGTTTTTGGGCCCCTCTCAAATTATGAGATATCCACCGGACACAAAGACTCCTGAGCGCTAAATGTTCATGGACGATTTTGTGCACTTGTCTCATACCTATGCCTGAGCTTGTTCGAATCTGCCGATAAGTCTCTCTTTTGTCAGTCTCTATTATACGCCGCAGAACACTGATGTTATCTTTAGTCGTCGCCGTAGAAGGCCGTCCCTCGCGCAGATCATCGGTGAGATTAGTGCGACCACGTTTAAACTCATTAAACCAGTTGTAAACAATGGCACGAGATGGGGCTTCATCGTGAAAGGCCAATCGAAGTCTATCATAACTTTCTTGTCGACTTAAATGACATGGAAAGTCATAAAAAATATTGAACGAAAATTTTCTCGCGTTAAATTCATTCTGACGCGACACAGACAATTTTTCAATTTGCTGCCAAATCGTAAACAAATGACAAATTAATAAAATACATGCACAATAATATTGGCAGAGTTCCATTTTCAAAATTTAAACTTATTTTTCTATTATAACGTTTACAAGTGGCCAGTTCTAAAATCTGTCAGTGTCGCCCTCGTATGTCGTTCAGGCGACACGATAGTTTTTGGTGCGGAAACATTCTAGACCTAGAGGTGTAGAAAAACCGCTATTATCTCTTTGATAAGTGCTGTTTTAAATGGGGTTAGTTAAACTAAGTGTTCCGGCGCCACAATTTCATAGTTTATATGCTAAAATGTGTGCTGAGTCAAAGATCACGAATTCGAATGCACACTACAAATATTGACATATAATAATCCAATGTTATATCTAATCTGTTATAGTAATAGCTATTAATCTCCTCCAAACCGTATTTTAGTCACAGCGCCTAGTTTCAACGAAGCTAGCGATCTACTCATGGCATAATTAATAATTATAGTGGAAAAAAATGTGCGCAAGCACAGGTTCAGTCTCTGTTCCCTCATTCTATAGTTAATAGTCCAATGAGACTGTAATCTAGATTTTTGTCTCGACCCGGAACAACCCCAGCAGTTGCGCTTACAACCACTAATCTAACGCGGCACTTAAAAATGGGTCATAACTCACAATAATAATTCACTAGTAGGGAAACTTTTTTAGTTAAAATTTGTCTTTGACCTTAAAGAGTCGGAGAGTACAGCATATTTTGAATCTTCTTCCTCTGCACATGTTTGTTGCTGGCTTTCTTCTTATGTTTCCGTTATTATTCTTGTTTATATTATAATAATATCTGTCTGGTGACTCTATATGCTCCCCGGATGAAAATAACGACGTCATACTTAATTTTACGAGGGCTTTCACACTGAATTCTTCACTCTATACCTATTGTTAGTTTAAAATTCTCCAAAACATAAATTTCTTATCACTTTACAGGATCCGAACACAAAGGACTTCTTATACTTCACAGCGAAGCTGCAGGAGACTCCAAATTTATGGGAAGCGTATAAACAACCTAAAATTTATGAGGTAATGTGATTTTTTAAATAAACTATTTTCATACGAAAGTAACTCTACTGACGTCTAATACAACAAAAACTAATAACTTGATCCAAAAATCTATCGTTTCTATTTGTAAGGTTACACCTATGGTTTTTTTTATTCTTATAAAATAATTTTAATTATTCGAATTGTCCGTCTATTCGAACAATCACCATGATTTTAAAGAGATAATTACTTTAAAAGTCAACAAAAGGTTTTAAGGTTTACAAAATCTGTTAAAGAACTCGAGACATTCGTCCCAGCCAGCGGGTCTTAATATTTTCGGTCTGGCAATTAAAGTACTACCTAATCATGACGTAATGTATCAAATTAACAAAATATTGTAGCATACAACTTTACGGCAAAAACGCATCAAAATTTAGTGAAGGTTTCTTTTAGTGGAAAAACTGAGTGCCTGTTTAGTTCGTGCGCGCAGCGGAGCATAACATGCGTGCTTGAAAAACACACGCTGGGAAGACCTAAAAAGCGGCCGATTATGTTGTATGAAGTACCTACGTGCTGCCAAGCCGCACTTGCCGCCAAATACGGAGAGTATCAGTTTTTTTGTATATGTTGAAGCTGTAAGTCGGTTGGATTTACAGTTTCATCGGACTCAGGGATCACGTCCGGAAAAAGTTGTGAGGCCGTGACCTACATAAAATGGGGACTGTTGTTGATCATGGTAACTCAGTTCATGACTGTACGTCAAACCTTCAGTACAGTTATAGTACACGCAGTATACATTAGTGTAAAAAATACTCGAATCAGTGCAAGCATGAGTTACAATTGTGTGCGGACTCTGGCTCTGCTCTCCTCTGACCCCACGTTGCCATCATACGATGACAATTTTATTAAATTAAATGTTTAGAGTACTTTATAGTGACCATGGGCACGGGAGACTGAGGTATTCAAAGACTCATTGTTAGATATTATTAAACGGCTGCTTTCAATGCAAAAAATTTTTATTTTTTATTTTTAGTCCGATCTACGCAGAAAGAACTTATTGTATCTTGAAGTCTTCCAATGCCTAGCTTGGGTTGCCATTTAATTTTATTAATAATAGGATCCCAAGCAAAGTTTGGCAACCAGCCACATTAATACCTCTATAATATGATATATAAATCAATGCCTCTACTGAAATTTGCTAAAGAATGATTTTCAATTTCAACAGCCTTGGTAGGAATCGGTGTTCTTTTGTGAGGATTTGTGGTCTCTCCAATCTGATGTAAATATTTGGGCAATCAGAATTTCAGATTTGACATTGGGACATTGAACATGTCGGTCCTTAGTGACCACAAGTCCTGCAAAGTACTCGAAAAGTCGGTAATCAAAAAAAACTAATTACGCAATAATATGCGTAAAAACAAAGTAGTGTATTTAATGTGTAGTGTTTGCATAAATAAGAGAAATCATGAGACAAAATTTTATCTCCAAGTAATAGTAAAAGGAATGTTCTTCTTCTTAGCATTCATCTTTCATAAATTTATTACAGCATAGCAAGAACCCTTTGCTGAACATGGGCCTCCCTCACAAATTACTTCATAAGCAGGATATTTGCCATAGTTGCCAAGTTTAGCAGGCAGGTTGACATCGGGTGTTTTATTATTTTGGATTATTATCAGACAGATGCTGCTGCCCATGTCCTGTTTACGTGGTAGAGCCATGCTGCAGTTATATTAGTAGTATAGTTGTAGCACGAATGGGTCGGCTCGACCGGGGAGGGACCACGCTCTCACAGAATACCAGCGTCAAATGGTAGCTTAATGCTGCTGTGTTTCATGTGGTGAGTGTAGAGAACCGGAGACCCTTTTTACTGGAAACGAGGCATTACACCTAAGTCCTCACGGGGTGACAACGCGTCTGTATTTTGATTCGTAATCGAGGATAGATGTAGATGTCTATGGGCCACAGCAACCACTTACCATCAGGTGGACTGTGTGCTCCTTTGTCACCCTATCCTATAAAAAAATTCCCTCTATGCCCCTTACGACACGCACGGGATAATACAAGGTGTTGGATTTCTTTGGGCTGCCGCTACACGGAAATGAATATCTTCTGGCATTTCAGTATTAAATCAGTGATTTAATTTGCCATTGTTGTAAAAGGCATAATCCGAATATGCGTTTGCAATCTCCCTGGTGTTAAGTTACTCTATAAAACGCTTTCCATACAGAGTTCTACGGCGGTAAATGGTAGTTCTCATAAATAAGACATTGCTTACCTAAATTATCGTTAAGAATGTTTTATTGACCAATTTTTTTTATCTTAAGATTTTTATTCATTTTAAGATCAAAATGCTTACGGTTATACCAGAGTATCGAAGACAAGGCCTGGCCGTAATGCTCGTCGACAAATCGAAGGCGCAGGCATTCGATCAAGGGTACAAAGTGATACGCATGGATTGCATTAATCAATACGAGTAAGTAAATTGCTCATGTTTATTTAAAATGCTAACAACTATCGAGGTCAAAGATGCGCGTGATACTGTAGTACCTGCAAAGCGAATAAATAAATATTATCACTGCACACAGCGTTCACCTACATCTTGCTTGGCTAAAACGTGCCTACAATATACTTATTATGTACTTTTGATATTTTTTCAATTACCTTTTTAAGTAAAGGTGTCAAACGAACATACAATCCAGCTGATAATGTGTGAATAACCAACTGTCATACATCAACCAACACCTACAACTACCATCGGTTAAGAATCAGAGCGAAGATGCGTCAACCATACAACTGAAATGAAACGCCTCGTTGCGTTAGTAAAAGGGTATCTGTCATTTACCACAGGAAACAGCATCATTCGTGCTACAGCAAAATGTATATTCATAGTGTATTTGGATTAAGAAATATGAAACTATTAAACAGTTTTGTTTTAAATAAAACAACCAACAACAAACAACAAACGTTTCTACCGACCCACTTCGGCTTTTCTTGAGTTATGTCTATGGACGTCATTTATACCATCATTTAAATTTAAGATTGATTTTAGAAACATCACCCAGATTTTACGATAAATTATAGCCTGGATCACTCCTGGTATTGTCATCAGCACTTAGAATTGCAATTAAAAATTTAATTGGAGCCGGCGGGTACCAAACTCGAGGATACTTGTGTGCTTAGCCCCTGAGCTTCCCTTAGTTTAACGCCCGGGGCCGCTAGAACCTCTGTTTACATGTTCGCCTTAATATATAGGTTAACATACCCATAATATATTAGGGCACTTTTACTTATTTTTAGTTAGTACGTAGTTATTGTAGGCATACAGTTTCATTCGTAGTGGTTTTGGTTTGCGCAGGCGAATCTCAGGATAGTTTGGGGCAATATGGTATAGAGGAAGGTTCGTTTCGGTCATATATATCTTAGAGTTGCACTACTTGGACTAATAAATAGATAGGGAACTGTGCATCCACATCTCTTAGCTTAACGGGACCGCTAGAAGCTTAGCTTTAAGGGCCCACTGTTTATGTGGTAGAGGCATGGTAAAGCAATGTTATGGTTGTTGCACGAACGGATCGGCTCGCTGAACCCGTACCACGCTCTCACAGAGTACTAGCGTAAAATAGCAGCTTAAGTGCCGATGTGTTTCGTACAGGGAGTGTAGAGAACCGGAAACCCTTTATTACTGGAAACAAGGCATTCCATCTTAGTCCTCAGGGGTGACAACGGATCTCCATTTTTCAATCGAGGAGAGATGATGAGGCCTCTGTCTCGCCCATAGCCACAGCAGCCGCTTACCATCAAATGGACTGTGTGCATTTTAAATGTTAAAGTGCGGGAGCGGACTTCTTTCTCAAAATTACGCCATCATGCTACGTCACTGTGATGGCCATAGTAGTTTCGTTATTGTTCCGTATTTGTTTTAAGCTCCAGTCTTGTAAGTACATTACAAGACTTCATGTATGGTTTCAGTAGTGCTTCCAGGCGTTTCCTATCGATTTCATTTGTAGTTCCATTAGTCAGATTATTTGGTCAAAAGGGTCATGTTCATTCACATATATATTCAATTATATTGTTGTTGACACGTAGCACTGGGCCTTGTTTCTCATTTGTCATGAACCGTAGTTTTCTACGTGTTTATAATCAGCGCTTGATTACAATCGCACATGGTGGTAAGTTGCGATGAAACCCTAGATGGTAAATGGCACTTAGCGCAACAAAAGGCTTATTCACCCATACCTTGATGACGTCCAGATTTTAATAGGATGGAAAGACAAAGTATTTGAAATCTTTTCTCGCAACTTTTTACTTTTTTTACGTGGTAGAGCCATGCTGCAGTTATATTAGTAGTATAGTTGTAGCACGAATGGGTCGGCTCGACCGGGAATGGACCACCCTTTCACAGAATACCAGCGTCAAATAGTGGCTTAATGCTGCTGTTTTTCGTATGGTGAGTGTAAAGAACCGGAGACCCTTTTTACTGGAAACGAGGCATTCCACCTAAGTCCTCACGGATGACAACGCATTTGCATTTTAATTCGTAATCGAGAATAGATGTAGATGTCTATGGGCCACAGCAACCACTTACCATCAGGTGGACTGTGTGCTCGTTTATCATCCTATCCTATAAAAAAGCTCTATATTATAAACTCACAACATAATTTTTCAGTTACAAGGTAGCTGAAAGATGCATGATGAACTGTCTTACCAAATTTCCGCTGCACAAAATACGCAGTGCAAACGCGCCTTACATCAAGCGTAGCTCGGAGCACAACAGATTTGTGCGGGTCTACGTCGAGGCGAGGGTGCAGGGCGATAAACCAGACCGGGTACGCTTGAGACAACGCCATGACTTCGAGAGCTTAATCGAATGACAGAGGTTTTGTTTCAACTGCCGTTAGCATCTGCGAGGATAACTTTCGCTTACTTTTCACTATGATATATCAGGCATATAACAAAACTTTCAACATATTTTATAATATATTATAATGTCATTATGTAACTAATAATGTCTTTTATTTTGCTCATAATCTATTTGGCTGACCTTTGGTTGAAACTTTCGTTTGTTAACAACTATGTTAAAATTTAAAACTTCAAGTCCTTAAAACGTCTAATGGATCAACACGGCATGTGCAATCTATACAATATCTCTTCCATTTTGTATGCTTTGCAAATCATTTATTACAATTGAACGGATATGTACTTTAGAATCTCGTAAACTATAATTTTTTTTAAATTTTGTAAACTACCTATAATTTACGTCCAGTTCTTTTGGGTAAGAACCACCCTCTCTGTCCCCAAGCAGCAGTACGTGCTCTACAGTTTTCCAGTTTGAAGGGTGTAGAAAGCCAGTATAAATACAGGTAGGGAGGCATTCCATCATAATTCTTAGTAGTAACAACGTATCTGTATAAAGTTCAAGTTGCAGGTGTGCATGGGCTTCAGTGGCCACTTACTATCAGATGGGTTGGAATGTTACTACGCTTGTAATTTAAATAAAAAAAAATCCAGCGCCATATTTAAACGAAACTATCCATCCATCTATTACCGCCATTCACAATTCCATAGCTGAACGTAGGGCCTCCTCCCCAAGGAATAATTAGATATTTTGATTTATATAAATGTATTACGTATTAGTAGAGTTTTAGCTAAGGTCCGTGAGATAATACGGGCACCTTTAGTTGTGCCGCCCTATGAATCCAGAACTAGAAGGAGAACAGAGACAAAATCACAAAGTCGCATACTATAACTAATATGAGAAAAATAAATAGCAAACAAGCTTTGGAAATAATTAAGAACACTTCAAAAATGAACTTAAAAAAAACTAACTACATTACACAATACTAAAATCGACTAAAATATTTACTATAATATCAACTGTCAAAATGGCGTCGATAAAGCAGCGCCTACTCTTATTGGTTTGTGGCAGCGCCCTTTTGACCCTTTGTTATTTGGTTGACTGATGAAGAGCTATCGTATCATAGAGCCTACTATGAAAACAAGGCTGTACTTAGTTTTTGAGTTATAAGAAAGTGACCATATTATCCGGATGACCATATTACCCTCACATACTATATTATAAGTCAGTGCAGGACTACTACGTGGGACACTCAATAAGTTTTTAGATGTACAAAAAGTATTCTAGATACTATTAATATTTATTTAACATCTTTTCACAATAATCTCCATCATGCTTTATACAAAGTTCCATAGGCCTAAACCAACTCTGTAAACACTTTTGTCAGTCTAGATCTGACAGGTCGGAAATCGCTTCTTCGTAGGCAGCCACGGCTTCTTCGACGCTTGAAAAAAAAACTTGCCTTTTATTTTTTTTTGACTCTTGGGAACAAAAAGAAATCACAAGGAGCTAAGTCAGGGCTATAGGGTGGGTGATTTAGAGTATCAACACCAGATTCCTCAATAAATGCTTTTGTTTTAAGGGAGGTATGTGAAGAGGCGCTATCGTGATGCAGCATGATTACCCGAAGCCCGGTCTTTGGTCTTCTCTCCCGCACAGCTTGAAAAGCTTTTGGTAATGCAACTGTAGTATACATTCAGAGTTGACTGACATACAATTTTCCAGCATTGGCGTCGACAAATGTCCGCTCCACGAAAAAGAAACTAGCCACCATTTTTTGCCGACGTTGCGAGGTCTATGCAGTTTTGTCAGTAACTGTCCTTCTGAGTAGACCCGTACCGATGATTGCCTTTTATTTTCCGGATCATATTGATAGATCCATGTCTCGTCACCAGTAACGATTTCTGAAACACGCCTAGAACGCATTTCATGACACCAAATCACAGAAGTCTGTTTTTCGCTTTCGGAGAACAAACGAGGGATCCATCGACAACAAAGCTTAGTCACTCCAAGATGTTGATGTAGGATTGTATGAATGCTCCCCGAACTAATGCCTACAAACTTTTCGATGTCCGTATATGTGATTCGTGGGTCTTCTCATACCAACATTTAAGTAGTCCATACATTTTCTGCCGTTACTACTGTTTGCGGGGCCCCGGTTCTTTGGTCGTCCTGTTTAAGGTTAATTTTACCCCTTTTGAATTCAGATAACCACCTAAAATTTGTTAAACGTGATGAAGCTGAGTCCCCTAATGCTGATTGTAGCCGTTGTGAACTTAATTGTTCGGTTGAACCAAATTTAAAATCATAACAGATCATAGCGCGCAAATGTTCACGATTAAGATCTATCGTTTTAAATGAAAACCGCGGGAAGCGTTGCAGGAAAATTGATAGAAATTTGTTTTTTTTTTTTATATTGAGCTATTGGCTTATGGAGTTCTATTTTTAAATAAATTTGCTTTTTAGAAACATATCACACTGGTGCGTTCCATTTTTAAATTTCGAGCATCTCAAAACTTATTGAGTGACGTACGTATCTCGGTGGTAAGACTGAGACGTTGAGGCACAAGCGGTGAGAGAACCAGTACAATTACAGACTGATAAGCATTTCATCTATATCGTAGTACTCAAGGATGACAGACAACGCATCTATAGTCTTCTTTGTTTGAAGTTATTTGTAAATGACCAGTGGGTTTACAGTAGCCAGTAAACATAAGATGGACTGAAAGTTCATTTATCATTAATAATATAAGGTGTTTTATATGGATCTAAGCAAAGATTAGACTAGACTAGACTAAAAATATTTTCAAAATTGGAGGGGCCTTCGATCTAAAACAAAAGAATTTATTGCAATGTTTGTTGTAGCAATTATGATATTATAGTATTAGTAGAAACCTAGTTAAATGGCTCAGTGCAAAATGATGAACTTTTTGAGGATCGGTATGATATCTACAGAAGGGATATGGAAAACTCTACATACCAAAGTGGTAAGGAAGGAGGTGGAGTATTGATAGCTATATCAAAAAAAACTTAAGTTTACTCGTGTCACCTACTGACAAAACAAATGTGAAGACGTATGGGTTAATATTGAAGCTCCAGTAACCAACAGAAGAGTGCCATTAGAGCAATATATAATTTAAAACCAAAAGAGTCAATGAGACAAAAATTTAAGGAAATTAATATATTTACTTTGGCCTCTCATACATTTATGAAAATGTACCGTACATTAGTACGTACACAAAAATAAAAGTAGTTTTGCAAAAATAAGTGATATTCATTCTGTAAATACTAGGAACAGACACAAGCAATAGACAGTTACTGACTCCACCGAGTCAGTAATTCATTTTTGGGGCGATGTATACGCTTTTACAACAAAATCCCAGAAAATATACAAAAATTTTTCATACTCAAAGTTCAAAAGTTTTATTAAACTAAGTTTGTTTAAAAAGGGTTATTATAATATTAAAGAATTTATGGATGATAATAACCCCTGGGAAGGGTGATCGCTACCAAGCTATTTCTAATTTGTCTTGTGTTGTTAATTGTAGACATGATTGTAAGCTATTATTTGAAAAAAAAATAGTCTCGCTGGGTTTTTTGCTGGTTCTTCCCAGGACAGAGGTTTTTTTTTTTGCGAACCAGTGGTAAATGAAAAAAGTGACTTTCAATAAGTATTATTATAATCTACATTGAATAAAAAAGTTTCTGTTTCTGTTTGTTCCAAGAATATACGTCAGATAGCAATGTGTACTGTTTATATAGTCGAATAATATTACTAATATAATATAACATAGTACGTGAGGGTAATATGGTCATCCGGTTAATATGGCCACTTTCTTATAACTCAAAAACTACAGCCTTATTTTCATAGAAGGTTATATGATACGATAGCTCTTCATTAGTCAATCATATAATAAAGGTTAAAAGGGGCGCTGCTTTTCAGACGCCATTTTAAGTTGATATAATATTAAATATTTTAGTCGATTTCAGTATGGCTTAATGTAGTTCGTTTTTATTAAGTTGATTTTTCAGTGTTCCTAATTATTGCCAAAGCTTGTTTGCTATTTTTAATTTATATATTAGTTATAGTATACGACTTTGTGTTTTTTTTATCTATCCTCCCCCTAGTTTTGGTTCTATAGGGCGGCAAATCTTAAGGTGACTATAATACCCTCACGTATCTTATATATATATATATATATATATATATATATATATATATACTGCCTCGGTGGTCTAGTGGTTGGAGTAGTGCGACTGCTGATCATGAGGTCCTGGGTTCGAGTCCCGGGTCGAGCCAAAAAATTAACTATTGAGTTTTTCCGTCAAGAAATTCTCAGTAGTTGCTCGGAGTCTGGAAGTTGGCGGTGTCTCACCCCCGTGCCTCGGAAAGGACGTAAAGCCGTTGGTCCTGCGCCTTATCTCTCTCCGGTCGTGTCGGTTTACCGTCCCATCGGATTATGAGAGTGATGGAATAGAGAGTGCACCTGTACTTGCGCATACAGTTGGGCACTATAATCCTGTCCTGCGCCGATGGCTAACCTCCCTTCGTTCGTCTGACATTATTATTATTATATATACCAGCCATTCTGAAAAAACTGCCTCACACAACGTAGCTGACACAGTAGATATGCCACGCAGATGTGTATTTTCGTAGTTATTTACTTATTTGAAATAAACTACAACTTCAAATTACGTCGACAAAGTGCGTACATAAATAAGCATAGAGTTTTCTTAGCTCTATGTAAACCTAATAAATGTTAAATCGTCAATAACAACGTTCGTGGTTTACAAAACAAAGAACTATTATTCTCGCCCGCCCGCAGTCCATTAGAGGAAGGTTACGGAGAATTGAGCGTAACCTAGTGCGCAATGTACTCGTATTAAGGCCACAAGGCCCGTCTATTAGTATACATAGTAGTCTTTGGGTTAAACACTAAAGCCTTACACATATAACCAGCGGGAACGATGGCGTGCGCAGCAGACTTGGCATATTCGGCGTGAACACACCGTGTA